GGGGGGGGGGGAAACGTCTGCCACTGAGAGGCTGGATGATTATCCATCCTCAGCGGATCAGTTTCATTATCTTTTTTTTTGGAGTTTCCATTTGGATGAGCGGAAGGTCGGAAGATCAATCAAAGCTCGAGCACTAAGTTATAGTTCTATCATGACCATGACATAACAATTCATTGAGACAGGAACGTACTCGGTATGCATATTGCACATGGGAAAGTGACGAGCATGGGTAAAGGGAGGAAGAGGGGGCAGACAAGGAATAAGCGCCGATCGACCAGGCCTGGACCTTGGAATACGATGGCTCATTAATCTAGAAACCGAGGCGGCGGCTGTCTAGGCCAAATGAGAAGGGTATGTACTTAAAGTATGTAGAGACCGGTGTAGATGAACCAACTGACTCTAGGAGCTATAGAGAGAGAGGCTCATGACGCGGGACGATGTTGCGCAATCGTATGGTTGACGTGGAGGATGATGCTGACCTCATGGTCTATCCAGATAACATCTGGCGCGAGAACACGGTCAAAGACCGGGATTGGAAATCCCCAATGACGGGATTTCACAAGAGAAGCAAAAGCTAAGAAAGTGGTAAGTTATCGAAAGAAATCCAAAACAAGGGAATTCTGTCGTCCCCCGGCAGTCCCAAGAGATCACGCGTGAGATCAAAGGAATGGCCGAGAAGGGGGGGGGGGGGAGGAAGGGAACAGATGCCGTATCGATCGGCGCAAAGGTCGCTAAGCAAGAATAAATGCTGTTACGGAATACTCATAGTTATGGACGGCGACTTTGTCTGCGCGTTGAGCCCCGGGGGTTAAGGAGCAAGGGCTCTTCTGCTCACACCCTCTCAGTCGCTGTGATCGAACTGCCAACGCAGAGATCTGGTGACCCGGAGATCGACAAGTCGCCAGGTCCTGGCCAACGAAGACAGAGCCGGGATCCAGTAGCTGCAGCCACAAAAAGTACCTGATCCGGTTTGAAGACGGGAGGCGCTGGGAAGCGTTCTTGCTGCTGCTACTGTTGTTGTTGTTGTTGTTGTTGTAGTTGATTTGAAGAGGGAAGAGAAGGAAAGAAAGAAAGAAAGAAAGAAAGCATGTCAAGGAGGGGAGTACGAATGACGCTGGACGGTGACCACGTGATGGCTGCTGATATCATCGAGTCACCATCTGTTCTACCCCCGTGACCATGCTCTGTCTTGATTTTCATTCTGGAATCTAAAGGATAATCTTGAAATGTCCATTGACGCGACGATCAGCAAGCATCGCGGGGAAAACAAGTCCGGGGAAACTGTGCCCATAGTTAGTAAAAGATGTGGATCGATCTGTCAAAGCGATAGAAACCGCTGCAGCTTTTCCACTCTGACGTTGAGTGGGACTGCAGTGGTCATGAACTGCTGCCGAATTGAGATTCGGTTGCAAAATGCTTTCTCTCTCCGCGCAATATCCAATCCTGATAGATAGGCAATCTCCCCGATTGGAACAGGAAATGAGTCCGAGGCGAACACGATCAACAAGAAAGCAGTCAATGCTGCAGTCACCCTCATGTGCACCATTGACCGTTGCCACGTAGAGGGATGCACTTTGTTTCCATAGTCAAAGTCACCAAACGTCGACCGATGTGCGTTGTCCACTGTGTCTGTCGGGTATCCAGAGGGCCATCTGATGCCTGCTTCCCTTGCCACCTGGGCTATGTGATAGCATTCAGGATCGTGCTGTAGTCACCCACCTTGAGGAGTGAAAAGGAGAGAAACACTTCAATCTTAATGGAGAGCTTCGACCTTCATGCTGCATGAAAGATGAGATGACATGCTTGTGGATAAGCTGGCTGACCACCACCATTTTAATGGGTTAACTTTGCTTTTTCTTTTGCTCTTCTTGTCTCCATGACGCCTTGGTCTAGATGCAATGGCTTCAAGCCACAGGCAATGCTATATTGACTCCACAAAAGATAAAAAAAATGCTCCATATGCCCCTTCCCCCATCTGCCGCGTGAAATGAGCCTTAGTTGTGTGCACTCCGTGCACCGAACTCTCAACACCGTTGCATGCAGGAGGTGGGGAGTCGGGTTCTCCGGCTTGCATATGCATCATGTAGCATCGTTGTGGCATGAAGAATGAATGAGCAAAGACAGTGTGGACAGTGGTGTCCCGGCCAATGCGTTTGCAGATAGAGAAGAAACAGTCTGGTTGGCGAGATGTAGACTGGCAAGTGCAACACTCCAATTGTACAAGACAACCGTCGATTCGATCATCGGTGACTTCATCTACCTTTCTTTCTAGTAGATCTTAGGGCCGGACAGGGGAGCAGGCAGGCAGGCAGGCAGGCAGACAGACCAGCAAAACCACAAGTAGTAATCCGGAGATAGCCCTCCGTACAGTGTAAGTACCTCTGTTGGTAAATGAGACTTTCAATACTGAATCAAAACAAGAACTTTGAGAAACCCAACTGGAAGTAAAGAACACCCCCTCCCCTCCTCTCCCCCCCCCCCCGCGCAGGTGTACCGATGGGTTGGAAATCCTTCCAGACCACAGAAAATCCCGATCTCGATTGGCAGGTACGACAATGGGCTGCATTCCGTATCACTGAAAAGTACCGACAGGTGACCTCTTTTCTTTGGTAGCTAGCTAGCTAAATTACGGAGTAGTTTGCGACCCTTAAGGACCGACCGACCGAACCTATCCACACAAGCCACAACACCAAAAATCCGGTATCTTGAGATTAAACCTGCCGTAGAAGGTTCAGCAGGGGTGGTGGTGGTGGTGGAAGGGGAAAAGCCTCACTGAGTCCCCCCTTCCCCCTCTTCCCACCCCTCCAAAGTCCCCCCACCAAATCACCGTGCCTGGTTTAACTTAGGGCTCCTTTTTCTGTGTCATCCCATTCTTCCCCGCCCGCCGCCACCTCCCCCTCACTCCCGGAACACGCACAGAGCTCTCTTCGACCATGATTCGTGGGATCGATCTTAGTGACTTCTCGTACTGTACTGTGTATGTTGAATGATTAGGGGAATACCGGAAGTATTGACCCACTGAAGATGACCACGAGTTATTATGAGGAATTGGATCGGTACTGTCTGTACCTATACGTGGACGCAAGTACTGTACGTACCCTGGTTCCCGAGTCAGCTGACCCGATGCCATCCAAACAACAATGGCCAAGGTCAACCTTAAAAGGCACACCTCAAACGAGTGAGCAGTACTGTACAAAGTACTTGTGGCCATGTGGGTACTAACCCACCGACCACGCGTCTACGCATTTCGAGACAATGATATTTTCCCTTACAGAGTACAGTACCGAGTACATACAAGCCAGTGGTCGGGGAAACGACGAGGTCTGGATGGGTGAGATCTACTACTTCGCCATCAGCCTGGATCCATATAGATTCGAGATTCAAGATTCAAGATCCCACGAAAAGTCACCAGGCAAAACCTCCTCTCGGCAGAAGAAGGGACGAAAAAGCAAATTGGGAGGCTGTAAGTGGTTCAATTTGTGAAGCTTCCTTCAGCACGAACGAAAAAGGCCCGCGGCGGTCCAGAACCTCCTCGATATTTAGATGTAAGCTTGTAGAAATCGAGGAATTTATTTCTCCGTGATTACTCCGTCCATACACACACGCGCGCAGTATGTCTCGGTCGGGGAGGGGGGGAGGCACTATCAGGGTCCTTTACTATCTGTACACGTAGTTCGACCCTAAGTGAGAGAGGGAACTACAGTACCAGCTGGCCTCTTTGAAATCCACCAAGCCCATAGGGCGTACGGTAAGAATAATCCAACGGAAGAAGTTCTCAAGATAGAGAAAGTTTTGGCTCACGCACACAGCGCAAAACTCAAGTTGGACTCAATAGAAAACGCGCGCGGGTGAAGAGATCCGATTTCCCCGAACAAAGTCCCCCTCTCTCACCATTCATCAGGTCAATCAATCTGTATCACCCCCTCCATCATCTTCAAAAAAAAAAAAAACAATCTTCCTCATTCCGGTCCGAACGGATTACCACCGAGTTCAGTGATGAAGTTACTATTGCTTTGAACTCCAGTCGTAGTCGTTGCCATTGGATATGCGGGTTTTCTGCAAGATGGGGAAAGGCTGGCCACCCCTCTTGACAGGTACAATGTCAGACATGCAATTATCATGCAAGCAAGTTAGTTTGTTGTGTGTCGATGACTCCCATGTCTAAAAGCAGCGGGGCTTTTTTGCTGTTGCTTGCTGTACTCACTACACCAATTCGGAGCAAAGTCCTCCGTCTTTCCCCCTCTCTCCCCCATCATCATCCACCCTCTCCTTCACCCCAGAAACTGACGTTGGAAACCTCCTCTCCCACTACGTAATTTTCCAAATTGATAATTCTATACTTAGAAAACACAGATTGGAGGGGAATGATATCAGTGCTATGGACATCCCAGAGGTATGGGCCAGTCCATAGGTTTAGTAGTCACCGACGAACGCCAACGCTAGCTATGGTCTGCCGCAAAGCTTTGACGAAAAAGCAAAGAAGCCCGCACCAAAATAAGCAAATATCGATCCAAATCCAAAAACGGGAACTATCTTAATCGAAAGGCAAGAATAGCGAGGAGAAGGGGGGGAGGGATCTCAATGCTTCTCGTCTAAATCACCCGTGTCAATCAACATGCATGCTTATGCAGCTGAACTACTAGTAAATAAACACACACACACGGCCGGTCGCCGCCGCCGCCGCCGGCCGGCTGTTCTCCCAGGAACCGCTCGAGGGCGGTCTGCAAGCCCCCAGCAGCAACTGTAAGTAATTGTACGGAGTGCTATACGGACAGTAACTACCGGGATGTGAGGGGCTGATTGATGCGACCGACCATCAATGATCATCCGCGATCTTTCTGGCTATACAAAATGATACTGCATTATCTCGCCGTCCATTGGTCCATTGCGAAAGGGACAGAAAATCCTCAGCCATGGACCTATATCCGGACAATCCTTCTTCCTCCAGGAAAGTCGCATACAGCATGTCAATACATACCAGTAAAGTTATGTGACCGCTTGTACTGTACCCAGTGGTCCCCGCATAGGTACTAGATGGTATAGAAGGTACCAGGTATCTGGTAATACCAACGCCGCGACCAGCCATCCACGAGCCGCTGCGCCCACACAAGTACCGCATGAAACGAAAAAGAAAAAGAAAAAAAAGCATAAATACCGATCTAAGCCGATTTAGTCTTCCGATTTGCAAGCCTAAACCTCTTCTAGAAACCTTCTCGAATGCCCGACCTGAATATGGAACGAAAACCCAGACCGAGAAGAAGTCAAAAGGCTAGGTTGCTAGGGCTCTGATTCGCCCAAGGGGGGCACTTGCCTCTGTAGACGATTTTTTTTCCGGAGGTTTGGGTAACAGTCAGGGCAGCCTGGATAGGATTTTTGCCTTATGCGGAAAGATGCTTGAAATCTCAGCTCAGCTCAGCTCAGCTCAGGTAAATTACCCGCGGTGTTTTGGTAAATTGCGCCTCTTTTCGGAAGGACCATCGGATGCGGAGGAGGAAAGACTAGGTTAGAATGAAGAGTGGTAGGTGTAAGTTTCGGGGGGATGTAGTTACGGGGTAGTTGGTGGTAGGTGGTTATAGGTGATGGGTGGTGAGATGAAGGATGTTCGGCTCATGTGACTATCCCGCGTCTCAGGGCCATCGAATCACTGCTTTGGTGTGTGCTTCGGTAACAGGTCTTCATTGGAAACGTGTTAGTCATTGACACATAGTTTGCATTCAGTTTTGACATCTGAATCTGGATGCTGAAGAATGCTGGGCCTTGTTCGAACGTAGACTGCGTACAAGTGCTGTAGCTTGCAAATCGAAAGAAGGTATCTAAGGAGATCTGTGCTTAATACTCCATGCTCTTACCATTGTTTCTGTATCTGAAGCCCTCGAAGTGTCAGTGTAGTATTACCAATGGTGACGGAGGACCCCGTACATCGGCTTGGTATCGAGTAAGGGTCAAACATACTCCTTACCATCCCACAATACCAGCCCATTGTGCAAGCTATGACCATAATGATCTGGACATAACGCGGCATACCCCAGTGGCTGGTGTAGTGTAGATTGCAAGTGGGCTACACTAGAATAGTAGCCAAGTCCGACCGAGTGGTATGAGGAGATTATTGAGGATGCCAATGCTGCCCAACTCTCGGGATAGGCCCGCTCGAATCGGGCTCCTTGCTTCCAATTAGGAGAGTCCACTAGCTTGTACGAGTAAGTCTTGTATAGTGTCAAAATTTCCTATCGAGGCGCGCAACGGACTAAGGTTGAAACTAGAAGGAGCCAATACAGACCTCGGGGCGCAGGAGCTTACGCCACGTGATACGGCAGAAAAGGACGCGCGACCGGCCCGGTGGTGAAGTTGGTAGCGAGCTGATTTGTCGGCGGTGTGCTGCCACAACGAGCGGCTGTTTTACTTCTGTTTGAGGTGGCGGTGCTAAGAATTACGGCTTCTGGTGATGGCTGCGGCCACCTCCGGGACCCCGTCACGCGTTCAGGGCCCCAAGGAGCGATGTACTCCGTCGGAGGCAAAGAAAAAAAAACATCTGGTCGGCCCGGTCTAGAAGGTCTCCGAGGGAAGACGATAACAAGGAAATCAAGTATGTGCAGCGGTTGCAGTGGTGTGGTTGCGCCGAGAATACCCCATTCTGCAATGCAGGAAGAGATGATGTGCATCGGCATGCCGAACTGAAAGCAGGAGTCGGTCCGAGTCTTGACTTTTCCCTGCCTTGCAAGGGAAGAAAGAGAGTACGGAGTAAAGGGAACCGGTTCGCGATGACATCTCTGCCAGGGGCAGAGTGGGAAACGACGTAATTGACTTCGGAACGTTCATACACTTCTTCGAAGAATTAAGTAGATTATGGGCACACTGCTTGTTTGCTCCACTTCCGGCCTCGTGGTTTGGATCAAGTCAAGATGAAAACAAGATTGTTTCGTGGCTATTAAGGTTGTGATGAAGTTACACAGCGAGACCTCCCGGTCGCGGAAGGTTGCTGACTCAGGACCACAGGACCCCCGAGGAAGGGAACGAAGGGAGCCCTGAGGTACAGTACGACAGTACATAGTTGGTTACCACCAATCTTGTCAGGGCTGATACAATGTTATGGTATAACAAGATGCATTGTAACCGGTGAGGAGAAGAGCCCCTCGACTACGAATCACCTTGCTGCCCGATCTCAAGAGACACGACCCACTTGGTAAGGTAAATTTGACCCGCAATGGAAGGAGAAGACCTGGTTCTGAGACTGACATATGGATAAGGTCTGGAGGGATCGAGGGAGACTGGAGGAGTGAACGAGTCCAGCTGAGGAAAGCCGCGCTGCCCCGACCTTTGCAGCGAGACGGTAAGCCCGATCAGGTAAAGTTCCCCTTCGGCCTAAGGTTTCGGTGGTTCATCTTGGGGTTTTCGGGATCCACCGGCTTGGTCTGGAAGACAGAGAAGGGAAGAGAGAAAAAAACTGGAAACAACCAACCAGCCGCAAAGCGCTGCACGGTCGGCTGCTCCACGTTTTCGGGCAGAATCGGACCTCCCCCTCCTCGTGGCCTTGCCAATTAATTGGTGCAGAGCCATCGGGAATTCCAGGAATATGTGGGGTCTTCCTGAAGAGATTCTGTGCCCTCTGATTTGAAGCTCTGCTTTTCGTGCCTGTTTTTTTTTTTTTTTTCGCTTTTGTGTTTTTTGGTTTCTTTTTCTCATTGTTTGATTGTTCAATTGGGTAGTCCATTTCTCAGCAAAGAGGGACAGACGTTGAGTGGGACTATCATTATACAGACACAGACAAGAAGCATTCACCGAATGCCCTTCCCTACGACCAAGAGACCCGAATCAAGTCGAGCAGCAATTCAAGACAAGAAAACGGACGACAGCGATCCGGGGTGTTTGGACTGGTTTGCAGGGCAGAACAATTAATAATGATCCCAGGTTACGTCATGGGTGCTTCAGCAACCAAGATTGTCAGTATTGTCAGTGCGCACGCGGACATCAAATTTAGCTCCCCCGCTTAGGTCACTATGAACTATGAACTATGAACTATGAACTTATGAACTTATGAAGCAATCTGCACACACACACACACACACTATACAATAGTGCATAGGACTCGGTACAACAGTACAACATACTTACGTATGAGACTATGACTATGAGCAGTCCCAACTACCGGGTAAGGAGGAAGGATGAGTTAAAGATGGTGGGCTCCAGGTAGATCAATGGATCTGGTCCCAGAGTGATCTCGGTGCGCTCCCCGGGAATTACTCCATGCAACACGCACGCAGATGACTTGTCTCCCGCCCTATGCCTTGAGTCTAGAACTTGTGGTTGCATTGATCGCTTGTTGGTATCCTCATATTCGATAGAAAGAATCGAATCGAAGTCTCAATGCAAGCATCCTTTCGTAACTATGATTAGTAGGTCGTCGTAATGGTATCGATTCACTCGAGTACTTACCACTCACGGACTACCAAGCCTCCGTCCGCGACCAACTCAACTCTTACCCCATATGCTTCTCCACGCACCAGCAGCACATGCTTGTCAGTGTCAAGTCTGTTGCCACATTCCACAATACCCAACTGACTAATGAGGAAGAAAAGATCTTTCCCTCCCCGAGAAACCGACCCCAGCATGTCCCCTGATCTCGACATGGACATAGTGACGCAAAAGGGATCGAATATCAAAAGGGGGGTTCAATCCATCCACGGTCCACCCCCCCTCAGCTGATTTACCAAGACTCTGGAAATGCGACCGATATAGTAACACACCACAATCCGATAGACTTTCTTCCATATCAGAGATTCATCGTGGACTCCGACAAGAACACAGGACAGAAGACAACAAAAGAGCATGTCCACTAGTGAAATCGAAGTCAATGATGATGACTTATTTGTTCCCCGACAACCATCCACCACCATCACCGACACACCATCCACCACCTAGTCAACTACTGTATCCAGTCCGTGTCATCATGAAGCACTACTATATTTATCCCAAGCCTCCGGGCCCCAGGAAATCAAAACACGATCATCTCCGTGGATTCTCCGACCGGCTCTTCCGTACGTGCTTTACTCGAATGATCTGCAGGGTGTGTGGAGGTTGTGGTTCACCTTCTCTTCTATCCCGTCATACCCTTATGTCAATGACAGTTCATCAACTGCCTCCCCGAATTCGCCTCCAGTCACTCACACACATTCATTCCCTCACCACATCATCGAGTTTTTCTTTCTTTCTTTCTTTCTTGCTTTCTTTCTTTCTTTCTTTCTTTCAACATTTCACACTCGAACAATACTTCCCCAGGGTAAGATAGATTCACACAACAGAGGAAGAGATTCCTAATTATGGCAACACCCCCGGGGGTTCATGGACCAGAACAATAGAACCATCAACTAACGAGAGAACACCATCAACCATCAACCTGGAACCAAATCATAAAAAAGGAAGATTAACTTTCTTTCAAGGAAACTAATTCAAGCAAGAACATCGAGTATAACCCTCTCATTCCTTTCATAACCACTTATCCCCGCATCCTCCTTTCCCTTCTTCCCGTTCCTTGTTATCTGCAAAAAGAAACTCTTTTGAGAATATCGCCTGAAAACACAGAACCAAAAAAAAAAAAAAAAAGATGGTGGGATCGTAATATCAGCGAGGCGACAGGGAAGGCGCGCCCGCGCGCCCGGCATTGCATGTGAAGAAGCGATCTGTGCGGGATTCTAGATCGTGACAGGGATATAACTATGTCTATGGTCGTAGGACAAATCCAGCAAATCCTGAGTAGGTACGTACGGAGCACTGCACTACTGCGAGGATGTATAATATTCAGTAAGCACAGGTATAAGACAAGGCAGGGGAGAGGAGCTTTGATCTTGTGTCTAGATGTAGGCTGCGATGGCTGGATGGCTAGAACACACCCGCCTGGCCCGTCTGGCCCCTCTTTTTTTGCTCTCAGCTAGCTACATAGTAATATGCTAACGCAGCAGTAAGTCAACCCATGCTGGTCTAGGTGCCGGCCTCTCCTTACCTGCCTGAATGAGAGTGGGCGGTTTGAAGAACACCGAATAGTATACGTGAGTGTAGGTAGCTGGCCTGCTGGCCAGGTCTGTGCCCCCAGAAAGGAGGGGGGGAGGAAAATGTTGAATACGACTGACTTACCTGATGCCTTGTCTATTTCTACTTACCTAGTCAACTTAACCACCTCCTCATCCAAACAATGGCATTCTTGTGTGGTCTCTCACAAAACATACGACGCAAATGTCTTACTTCACGGAAATATTGCTCTGCTTTGTTATGAATTTTTATTTCAAATTTTGCTTCTTTTTTTTGGAGCTTCCTCCATACACAGCGGTTGGGTAGATGAGAAAAAAAATAGTATCAAGTAGCGTACACGGCATGTGCAGGCCGACTCAAGAGTCGACCAGTATGCAAAGAAAATTCGGGGAACGTGGTATCTGGTATCAGCAAGGCGTTAAAAAAATCAACAAACGGGCTATTTCAATGTATGCAAAAACGCAATTCAGTTTTTTTGTTCCGCCGCCTGGATCAAAGATGAAGACGAATCCAATGGACCGCTCGCGCATCAATTCCACCCAAAGCAACATAAGAGTTAAAGAAAAGTGGAGACCCTTCTTTTCAAAGGTGTCTCTGCCGACTGTGCATCGCCGTAGAAGAGAAGTTCATCTGTACAACAAGATTAATTGTGTAAAAGACGCTTGATCCCCCCCAGTGGCCCCATGTATAAGGATAGCAGACAGCCACACAATGCAATGTAAAGATAGCAAAAGTAAAATAGCAATGACCCGAAAGAGAAAATGTTCAGGTCGAAACACAAGGCCAGATGATTCCGAAGTGCGCCAATATGCAATGCAGTCGTGATGGTACGTGTCACAAGGATGATAATCAATCGATGGTCTTTACATGGTGAAGTGAAAACAAAACAAAAAAAAAGGCGTTCGATGATCGGGTATCACTGTCAATGAACAATATCCACCAGATAAGATGTGTTATGACACAAAATTCAAGGATAATCGAAGATCGAGGTATAGCGATCGTAAGACCCAAGGGAAGTGTTTACCATCCCTTAACATGGTATTCCCAAGGTCCAAAGTCGGTGTAGTGATTCCAAGAGCCGGTCTTGTCCTTCCCTTGGCTGGTAGGTTTAGTTGCGGGACCTGCATTCTGGCCCGAGGTTTGACCCTTCTGGGCCCCCTTGGGACCAGGATACTCTTGCAGATTGGCCATATCGTGGGCGGTGTGGCGTCGCTTCAAAAAGGCATTCGCGGTGGCGCTCTTTTGCTGACGCTCCCAAAGCAAGTGGCGACGGAGAGATTCCGTCAATTCAGTAGCCAGCATATTCCGACGAGTCGTGCGGGGCGAATGAGCGATGGCTTGAGGCGTAGGCTTCATAACAATCGGCTTGGAACGAGGAACATCAGGGCCGCGCATAGTAAGACTCTCCTCGTCGTCGTCGGGCGGTGAAGCCGGGATCGAGGGGCCGTTGGGTGAAGTGAGGCGGGACCGCTGAAGAGCCGGGGTGGACCGGGATGCTGCGCCCATTTTGGTGGGTTGATGCATCATCATGGTCAGCATCGACCGACGGGAGACGAGGTTTGGCCGAGAATCGACTCGCTGGAAAAGCTCGCGCTCCTCAACACTAGACCGGCCACTTTCGGTGACCGAATCCTCCCAATCAGAATCAGAGTCATCCTCGATGGCGCTCTCAGAGACTTCATCGTCGGTCTCGATAGCGTCCTCATGCTCCTCGAGCCGTTCCCGAGTGGGCTTGATAATTCCGTTCTCATCTCTGAAGGACGCCACCTTCTTCTTCGGACTTTGGTTGCTCGAAGACGGCTTGCTTAATTCGTCCGATAGGGAGCTCCGGTGAGGACCTTGCATCGTAATACGATCTTCAAAGGAGCTCTCGTCGTCTCCAGAGGAGCCTCCAAGTGTGAACATGCCGCCCTTTTTCTTGAAAGGCATAGGCTTAAGCTGTCCTGATTGCTTGGCTGGTCCAGGCTCGGGTGCCAATCTCGGCTGCGATCGGTAGGATGAGGATATAAGCGAAGGAGAAAATCCACGGACGATGCTCGGGGACTTGATCAAGTCACATCTCATAGGAATAATGCCGGAAGAAGAAACACTGGTGTCGGAAGCAGCAGCGCAGGCACTGTTGTCGCTTTCGTTGCCCTCGGGCGCTGTGGTGGAGCACGACTCCGTGGACTGGTTCTGCTGTTGTTGAAGAGGATATGGTGGCGGTGAGGGCGTCCGCTTCACGGTCGAGACGGTAGGGGAGGAAGGAGTGGGAGTGGACGGGCGTGGGGTAATATCCACAACGGGAGGAAAGGGGGTGGTCATCGATTGAGGAGGAATAGGCTCCAAGCTCTTCTTCTCCTTGATGTTCAGCACCATGCGTTCCAAGCCCTCGGATGTGATATGCTTCTCTTTCCCGCGAGCCAGACTCAAGAGAGGGCTTGAATCCTCACGAACAACTGCAGGCTTGAGATCAAGCTTCGACCGCTTGATATGTTGCTCAATCCTGTCAGCCTGGTCGGACGCGGCAGATTCGACACTGGCGGAAAGTTCTGGCATGTCCGAAGTGTCCGTGCGGGGGAGTGGCGAAACCGAGGTATCGCTGTTAGTCTCCGGTTCCACGCAGAATGTCTCGCGGGTCCAGAGTCTCCAGCTGAGATTCTCAAGTCGACGTCCCTCTTCCATGTAGTCGGCGCATTTCGAGAACACTGGCGAGAAGATCCTAGTCAGCCATCACAGTAGACTGATTGCAAAGCCGACGATGCTTACCCATCCACATTCCATGTAAGCTCTGTGCATTGGCGGTGTCGACCTTGTGGATTTTGGCCGTATCCACTGTCAGAACGGGGGTTGATAAACGCGAAGGCATTTTAACGACGCCACAATTTCGAATTTGGTGCAAGTTGAGAGATGTTAACTGTTCCGTCCAGGGACTTTCGGGGTCGCCGTCTCCCCCGAGCGTGGTCGTACGGCGCGAAGTGCAGCGAATTGAAGCTCCCTGATCCTCCACGATGTCGATGGGATCGAGTTTCTCGGTTCGGAAATCCGCAATCAAATTGCAGAGGTGTCGATTGAGCAAGTGATGGCACCCCAGCTGCCTGTCGAAAGAAGCAGCGGATCTAGATATCAGCGATTGTGGTGCGGGTTGTGATCAGGCGCGAGATGCACGGTCGGAGTCGAGTTCGGATGGAGAGTCTGCCACGGGGTGGTAATTCTCTTTTCCCGTCCGGGTATAGTCGAGGCAGAAAGGTAGAGACCGGCAACGACGAATAGTCGAAGCAATTGGGGACGAAAATTGGAGGTTCGCGAAAGGAGCCGCCGGTCTAGAGGGGAGGATGTGTCGAGTATGGGGAGGGGGGAAGGTGCGAGGTTGTCGAGGAGAGGCGTGGAGGGAATGAAGAGAGAAAAGAGAGAAGGGAAAAAATCGACCGTAGGAATATGGGGGAGGAGAAACTTAGTACGCGGTGGAGCGGGCGAGAAAAATGAGGAAAGGGAAGATAGTTAAACGACGGGTCGGTGGAGACTTTGAGATTATGGGACGGGGGGGGAGGAGGGCGTGGGAGAGAACAGTAATTCGGTATGAACTGGTAATGGTACAAGGGGAAAATCGAAGGAAATAAAAATTATGGGAAAATGTGGAAAAAGTATGGAAATATGGGGGAAGTGTGACGGTGGCCACAGGGAAAGAAAAGTCCGATGAAGGGTGTACAGTAAGTAGGTACTCTACTCAGTAAGAACAGTAAGTACCGAGGGAAAGGAATTGTTTCAATAGGGATGGCGGTAAGAGAGGAGAACAGTGAATGTACGTACTGTATGTACAGGAAAGGCGCGCCTCCTTCTTCTTCTTCTTCCTCCCTCCATTTCCGTGGGCCGGAACCTATGTATGGAGAGAGCGGGAGAGTGCCGAGTAGGTAGGCCAGGTGGGTGGGCGTGTGTGAATGTGTATGATTGTTTTTCTAATAATTCGGAAGAGAAAAAAGATTTTGTCTTCTTTTTTCCTTTTCATTTTTATTTTCTTGCATTTTTCCATTCTTGGAATGGTAATGGTGGTACTTCCGGAGTACCCCCGCAGGGCGTCTGGTATTTCATACATTGTCATGACTAGTGTAAATTTACCGGTCTGTTTCCGGAGTGGGGCTACGAAAACAAAGTACGGAACTTGTTACCTAGTACCCTTGTGTATAGGACCTCGGAATGATACTCAATTCCTCCACCAGAAGGGTAACTTTGGCCGGTGAACGCGGCGGCGCTTCTCTCTGCTTCCCTCAAGTACTTGTTTGTACTTGGCTGCAACCGATTTGAGGCTTGACTCTCTCGCTAAATTTGGTACCGGATGAAGTATGAAGGAAGACTCTCCCACCCTCCAGACATACCTATTCAAGCGTTAGAGGCAGGTATTCCTGCCAGGAAAGATATTCCAATACTTTCCCCTAGTATACAAATCAATCCAAGGTGACTGACTGCATTACGTATCACAATCAGCAAAGCACTCACCGCGCAGGGGATGTTCTAGACAATCGTTCAGAACAAAGATCACCTTGTCCTGTGACCAGCTTGACCGCTGACTAAGGCCGCAAGAGAAACCTCCGTCTACTAACAGACCTAACCTAACTACGGAGTACCGAATATACATCATTAACTTACATTGGATGAGTTCAACCCCGTCAATTCCGTCGGGTCACTTGACTTCCCCCAAAAATGGATCCCGAACGATTGGCTTAGACAAGATACTGCTGATATCACTCCGCACTTGTCAACTCGCCTACAGTACCAGTAGTACCACTATTGATAGACCTAATGAATATAGCCACTTCCATCATTGTTTCTAGTCCCCTTCAGTCCCTTTCAATGTCCCCTTCCCTCCTTCCCACACATCTACTCCCCCCCTGTCGCTGTCAATTCTAGGCACTTACTGCCTAAATCCATTTCTCGCCTCATCAGGGGCATTTGACAGCTCATCTCTCACCTGCCCTCTTTGGTGGCCATTTTGTTGGTGTCTGCTGACTGTCACTGTTTTGTCGACTACTTTCGCCACGGACCTAGTTTCGGGTGCATGTCGCAGCGAGATAATGCCTTCAACGACCCGTGGACCTTCTACCCTTGACACTTGGGTCTAGCCACGTTTTTATTCCCGAAGATGAGCCAATATCGTCGGTAGCTGGTTTCGTAGTTGGCCTCGATCTGATCCCGAGGCATCTCTGCCTGATCTTCTTATCCCATTCAGTCTCTCTCCGTATGTTATTTGTTTCAGACAACAACAACAACAACAAAAACAACAGAAAAAAAAAACATTGCCATGCCATATGATCTATCAATGTATCCTGGGACAATCATTCTGGCTGAAATGGCCTGAGCACAACCCCCGTCCCCGCCTCGAACTACCTTGCTGGTACGCCGCGCAATACGTACTCTGCAAGTATTCGCCGGTGGTATGTAGTATCTCAAATGCCCCCAGGCGGAGTCGCATACCGGGGAAGAGCGCCGCGGTTCCGATCTGGGTGATCGTCTTACCTACCTAGATAGCACTGACCTTATCTTCTTCTGGTGGAGGTGATGATCTTGTTTCTATTCCCTCTTGCGGTCTGCAGCAATTATGTGTCAATGCCGGGGGTTAGAATGTTCTCTTTCTCCCTTCTCTGCTCCTAGTTTGTCTTCAGGCATTGGAGAACCCCGGAGTACGGGTACATACGCTTGGATCATGTGGGCTTGAAGTTACTACCCCACGAGCCTGAGGCATCGCTAAAATGCCAATCACCAACCCGGACGTATCTACTTGACATTGATCCATTCGAACAAAAAGAGCCCTCTCGGATTCGTGAGCTGATATGTGTGTGTCTGTGTGTGTCTGTGTATCAACTAGCGACAGATACGTCGAGTATCACAGTGGCTTCATTCCACTTTCCCTCCCGACCCAAGTCATAGTCACAAGATAGGAGGATTGCCAGCTGTCAATTCTCTCGTCATTAGTGACGACGATGATAAGAGCCCAACATGGATATCCCCAGGGAGAGGGGAGGAATGATTGTGTAGCACCAACGACATCAATACTACTACTACTGTCAGGCGTTCTATAGATTTGATCTGGTGTTAGATTACCCGGCTATCTGGTTTAGGCTTCTTATTAACGCGCCCCCTTTTTTATTTTATTTTTTTTTCACGTCACGGGGCCCTGCAAAAAAAAAACCAAAAAAATCTCGGGGATAAAACATCCGTTGTTTGCATACTTGACTTCCGAACTAAGTATAATCAGAGAGACTGAAGACGCCACAGCTACGATCCTTCGTCGCGGATCTCCAGGTAAGTGGTTCGGGGAACTGGGATGCAGAAGATCCGCCCGATTCACTATCATCAATCAATCAATCAGTCAATCAGTCCGTCAATCATCACCACCCACCCTGTCGTGATGGAGGGGGAGAGCAATAATGAAAATAGGGGGGAGACAACGAGAGAAAGGGAGAGAAATCAGAGAGTTAGCTGACAGCCTGCCCCTCTTGTCTGGTTCTCCTCGCCTGTCAGCCCACGTTGTGTAATCATGTGATGCTCCCACCTGGCAGGTTCTAGGTCTTTAGGTTAGGTCTGAAGGGTCGAATGAACAAAACTGAGGTAAACACCCTGGGGAATTCTCACATGGGCGGCGGTTGTAAGATTCGGTTTCATCTTTTCTAGGCGAGTTCAAGGCACCACCGCAACCGCAACCGCAAAACGTTCAAGCTACTCGTAAACGCGGAGAGATTCCTCCATCCCATCTCGTTTAGCTTATTTTGGCTTTTTTTTCGCCGTCTCCACTCTTCTTTCTCTTCTAAGCACCCTTTTTAAAAAAAAAAATCTCTGACGGTGGCTTCTTCCTCCGCTCCCCGCTATTTCCCCGTGGTGGGTGAAAACAGCCGAGCGAAATCCGAGGAGGGAGGGGGTGGGGGAGGGACTGCCGCCGTGATGATGCGATATCTCGTGTCTACGGAGTATTTAGATGAAGTAAATTGTGTATGACCCGACCAACTCGAATCATCCATGGAAGGAATTGGGGGGGAGGGGGGGGGTTCCCTTGAAGGATTCTATCTACCGGTAAGCCTCGCAAATTTTCGGATATCCCTCTCGAGTTTAGTCGCCCGAAGACGTTGAGCAAAGAGCCGATCTGCATGGCGTTTAAAATCTTCTGGTCATTTGGTCCCGGGACCGCTTTGGATCAATCACAGTGCCTGAAGAGGTCAGCACCTAGAAGAATGATATCTCCGGTGGAGAATCACGGTGAATGGTTCCATGTACGGGTGTAAAAGCCTCATGTTAAGAGGAGGGTATGCAGTACATGCATTCATTGAGCTCTCCAATCCTCAACCAAGGTAGTCGATGGAGAATGAAGTATATATGTCGATGGAAATCGGTTGGATCAAGTCGCACGATCGGCGGGTGTCAAAGCAAGATTCTCGACCTAATAATTGGACCCTAAACCACTGCGTCTGTTCTTCTGCGTGCATATTCATGTCTGTATCTCTCGAATGCAGACATGATGTTTATCAGCGTGTGCGTGCGCGCCGGCGCCTGCACCCGTCCCCCTACTATGTTTCTACACCTCCGGCCCACTCCAGGCTCCCTTCCTCCCAAGAAGTGTGCCCGGGGAAAGTGAAGAAGGGTAGCCTGAACAAGCTAACCCACCTCTGGATTTAGGTTGGTAATCAGCTAAACATCGTGAGCTTATTATTATGATTGCCCTTTCGTTTTCGCATGCCTCTTTTTGCTTTCCTCGTCGCCCCAGCCTAACATCTCCACCGCGTAACTCGTACTTTACCGGGTAATACTCTAGAAGAAAGGAAATGATACTCTGTAGAAGAAAAGGAAAATAGTGGGCACGCAGCTGCCAGCGTCGATGATCGTTTGGCAAAATTGCTCAGCTGCCAGACCTGTCCTGCAGATTATCGTTCCACAATAGCAATGGAGAGCGAGCCACGTAGCTGCGCCCCCAGCCCGCTACGGCTCTCGACTGACTTCCCTTCAAGCCTACTAGAAAAGAGAGCGCCGATGCATGGCAGCATGGCTAGGCTATGGGCGGATTCTACGGGGTACAGTATGTCCTGTACATCCACGGTACTTCGGCCCCGGCTAAGCTCATGATAGCCAGTCCACTGTTCAGAAGCGATGCTTTCTTAAACCCTCCGCCACATCTGTTAATTCGATTCTTTGTTTTTTTCAGGCGAAGGATCTTGCGAATGATGATCAAGAAAAAGCCAATAATGATGAACAGAAACTGAAATAACAAACAAGAAAAAATTAAGGATCCCGCTATCCCATGATCTCCCTACGTATTCGAGGCAACATGAAGAAACGGGCTATCTCTTCTACAGGGACGATCTGTCGTCAATTCGGCGTCATGTTCAGGATGACCTTGAATAAATGTTCAACCAGGACGAGAAGGTCGCCAAAGGTATAGGGTGCAAATAGTGTCTCGAACCGCCCAGGTGGAACAGCCGGGGGGGCAAAGGGCAAAGGGCACTCAGCAGGGCAGCATAGCAGGCTTGGAGGGAGGGTATCACCCCCCCCCCCTCTCCCCCGGAAAAATGGACACATTCAGTCCAGAGCTGACGTCGTTACCAACAGAAAATAGCCGAGGAACCTGAGGAGATCACGCTCTGTGATGTTCTACTTGAGTACGGTAGCGCACTTGTACCTACCGACCCGTTGACTGTGGCGTAGCCTGGGGAGCTGTTTTGGGAGCTATTGGACTCGAGACGGAACACCCGGTGGAAATTCATTTCTCCTGCAGTGCGGGCCCTGCCAGCCCCTTAACGTGGGGGGCGGGGGGGGCAAAAGGAACACCCAGTCAGTTTAATTGTCAGTCAGTCAGTCAGTCACACTCTCAGCCTGTGCCAGTGGCAAAGCAGTCCCGCACAAGTCACAAGACAAAATTTGGGGAGGAGAAGGTGGAGGGTGTCACATGATGTGGGGTCGAACCGCGCAACATTTACCTTACCTAAGAGCTAACTAAGGCTAACTAGTTAGTTAACTTACTGAGTAGCTAACTAAGTGAGTGACTACGACGGAGTACGTACCGCACGTACAGCCTTTGCGCCACCGGGCATGGACTGGGGTAAATCATTCCGGAGATCGCGCAAGAGACTCGAGGTCAATCCCACTGACTTCCCCGCTGACCACAGACCAACTCACTGATCTCACCAGTCATTGCCAAAAGCCCCGCGTATTGGAATTGCATGTATCAAAGGCATGTCTCATCGGCTCTACCATTGGCAGCCATCCACCGCTATCGCCATCCTACAATACTTGTAGCTCTGAAATGAGGACCTGTCATGGGAGGAGCAGTTGAGGCCTAGTGTTGTGTTAACGGACAGCGGCTGCATCATGTCAAGCAGCACCAGATACCAGCATCAACAAAAACAAAAACAAGAACAGAAGCGACACAGGGGCAAAAAGGGACCATGCATCCATCAATGCGGCCCGCAAACAAAGGATGGGCACAGTCTCACCCACGGAGTACCCCTTCCCGGCTACCGGACCCTCGACAAAGTTCGCGACGCCCTTGGATCCAGCAACCATAACCTGTGATGCTGTACCATGCGCTTTTGCCGATTCTGGGACCACGTCCCGAGAACCCTTCCCTTCCCCCGGAGGGTGGACTATACTTCCAAGGCAACAGGGTTCTTTCAAAGCTAACGGTGCCGTCGATCAACGGGGATTCGCCCTGGGGATGATCGCTTACAGGAACCGATCGAAAGTATGTGAGCTGGCGTAAAAAGGAGGAGCTCAGACATGTGTTCTGGCTGGCATTTAACCGTTGATTCCGCCCTTGGGGGAGGAATTCGGCTCTACGATCTAGAAGGTATTTTCGTACTTTTTTTTTTTTTGGTTCGGGCCTGGTATTTGACCTCGATTGATCGGCTTCAAGATATTGATATATGAACGCAGGCGCTGGTATGTATGTGTCCACGTAGGTGTCCTCGTCAATCCATTCTGTGACCATTGGCCCAATCCCTGAACCCCAGCTTTGGGTTTTGTCTTTTCTGGATGTACTCCAGATCCTACAGTACATACATAGCTAGTAAGCTTCGCATTGCGCACGGATAGCGGTTTTTCACAAGGGTCATGGCTTGGAAGGGACACCAAGCGAGCTGAAACATAAAAAGAAATAGCCGGATCGAGGCATTCGACTAACAACAGACCGACATTGAATCTTGAAACCCGAGCGCTATCGACCAGACTGCTTTCTCAAACTATCCCGTACTCTGCTTCCTGTCTCTCTCTCTTCCCCGTCAGTGTTCTTGCTTTCTTGCTCCTCAGTCCGTGCCCTCTTTCTATTTATCCATGCTCTTTTGTTAAGTCGGACGATTGACCCTGGTCCGTCCTACCGGGTCTTCTGAGCGGTCACATTCCATCTTTCCCGGCCCGCCTTCCCCGACCAGCCAGAACCCTGGGATGATCATCTTCATGTTACCAGGATGACTACCAGGAACAGGTAGTGAATGCACTCCCCTCACCTCTTTCTCTCAAGTGTGGATAAATTCTGAATGCGACCTTTCGTTCGAGGAACCGGACTAGCGATTTCTAGATTATGCACCGAGCCTGACTACCCAGGCCACACACACACACCCATAGGGGCAGGGGGGGAGGGAAAGGATTGGGGCGATCTCATATGGAAAAAAATGCAAGGGTGAATGAAGAAGAGCAGTAGGTTCGTGTTCTTGCTCAAGGATTCGGGCCTTGTTCGACGATCGATGAATGTTCGATGGGATTGACAGATGAGTGGAAAGATTGGTCCCTTCTTCGACAAGGATCATCTGGCAATCCAGCCCCAACCTACGGTATACTTTGCTTCTTGCCGCCCGTTACGAGTCGATCAAACATAGTCTAAAACTCTATGATCTTTAAAGGAAAAAGGTTGAAGAAAGTTGAAACCGGCGCGAAACCCTTGTCGCCTTTCTAACGGCTCTTTCTCCATTCTAGGATAGGATGTTAGCAGCAATTCGCAACTCAGATCTCATAAAAGCGGACGATTCCATGGCCAGAGTACAGTACAGAGCAGAGCTTGCAGCCCTGCAAGGAATCTTCTATCTAATCTTTGTGCTCGAGTCTGCATGGCGGCTTGTACTGTACAGTTCAGACACGTTCGATGGAGGGGGGGGGGGGAAGGGAGGGGCTTACCCCGGATTGAGGATGAAGCGCTACGGGGGCACCTCCGGCACGATGGCTTGTTTTGTGGGTGCGCCTTGCTCAGAAGTAAGCTGCTCCGGAGTTGGCCTTCTACGTACAGTATGTACATACAGACCGAACTCGTCCTTTCCCTTGTCCTTTGGGGAATGACAGAGATGGCAATGTCACCCTACCAATCCATTCGGATGTCGGACTGCCTCCCCCCCCCTCTCTCTCCCCTCCATCGAAGGAAGGAAAATCGCGCAAGAGGCTAGGAGAAGACTCCCAGAGGATTCGACTCGCAGGATAGTAGTTGTTGCTTTACGTATCATTATTCTCCCAATAGAGACAGCCGCATGTTGCCGGTGTGCTTGAGGCACGGCACGGTGAGTGTAGTATTCGCACCCACGATCTTTTCTGGCTGTGTCGATCTCTTTGGGGTCTTCCTGGATTGTAAGAAGCAAAGGGTCGAGTTGTTCTCTAGCAAAATGGCACTACTGTCTTACTAATTACTGAACTACCACAGGCAGGCATGATGGGACCCTAAAGAAGCTATTTCAATAAAGCTAATCTTTGCTTGCATGCTGCATGTCCCGGTTTCTGGGAACGGGGGGAGGCATGCCGAAAAAGGACACCCCCCTCCTCCTCCCCAAATTTTCAGTCGGGGCTGGACCCCTGAGTAGGACACCCTTTCCCCCTTCCCCCCATTTCCCCCCCACACCCCAAACTGATGACGAACTTCCAGTCATCGTAATTAGTGCATTAAATCTCCGTCCCCTGTCTCTCCTGTTGACCATTCCCAGAAGGAGAGAGAGAGAAAGAGAGGCACCAAGGCGCAAAGCATAAAGAAACCATGTGTTGTACCTGCTTACCCCGAACTTACTTACACCTACACTTCCATTGACGAAAGAAGGGGAAGAGGGGGGAGGGGGGAGGGGGGAGAGGGTTGTCCCTTCGGTAGTGGAGTGTTCATGTGCAAGACAGACGGCCAGCAGCAATGCATGTCACTTCACAGGTGTGGGTGGAACATGTAAGGCATCTAATTTCGCTCGTGCTACGGGAAAGTCAGGGCTCCGTAGCTCAGGGTTCTCCGGGTTTATCTCTAGATTGTATACTCATTTCTATGGAAATTATTCAATTCCAGTTGCTCGGATAGAAGGGAAGTCATGCGGTGACTTTCGCAACCCGTTGATACCTGATGCCATTCAAGCCTATCACTTCGCATGCCCCATTATCCATCTTCTCAGCTCAATGATATATGGGGTAGTAAAAAACACACAGGTTGGATGAACCCTACGCCGACTCTGAACCAAGCATAAGGAATGCACGTCACCTCTAAGTATTGCATCGAACGAATACCCAGCTACGCCTCGAAAGCAGGGGCCGATTGAACCTAAACAGGAATTCACAGTACTCCGACGGGGTAATCTAGTCATAATACAGGATGAACACACAAAGAATCAACGCCATAAGCCATCATCATCATCATCATCATCACCATCATCACCCCCACCACTACCAAACATCCGACGATACGAGATGATACTACCTCCATCCGGAAGAACTCCCCCGCCTCCCGGTGTCAGACATCGTATAACTTTGCCTGGCTCCCATTTCAACCCCTCCGCCCCTGCCCACTCAGCCTTTGTTCTCGGTCTCTTGCCCCGGATAGGGCTGCTTTCGTTATGTGTATCTACGGTTCAAGCCACCGATTCATCAGCGTAAGAAGTCCCCCCCTTTGCGAGGGTCAATTGAAGTCAGTATCCCCGGACATTGATCTAGGGAGGTTGGATTTGAGTTTCGATGTAGTCCTATTCCCTCATATCCTCGTTTCGGAGTTCCAAGGAAGCAGAGTATCTGTAAGCTACAGGCAAGCACAATGAAACGAGCTCTCTGCTTACGAGGTACCCGGTCTCGTGACACGGACAAGTCAAAGAGATGACTCAAATAAAGCATGAAAATGCATTTAGACTATTCCTGAAGATCGCTTGACATATGTTAGAAGGATGGGGCGGGGTGCCTAGTTTTCTGACATCTCGACAGTGTACTGTACCTTGAAAAGCTGACGGACCAGGTTGGAAGAGGAGGAGGAGGCACAGGGGTCGGAAATGCTCATGTGATGTTTGAGGATTCTCCTATCGCTTGTTCCTGAATTCGCGTCGACTTGTTTCAGCGTTAAGGGGTAGTAGTCCGGAGGGGTGGATATCATTGGTTGGTTCCGATTCATACTTTTGGTGAACGAACCGGTCATGTGCCAGACGATGCGAAGGTTTGATGATCAAACTGATAATTACTTCGTAGTTGATGATGACGAGGGATGGTTATCTATAGGTCTTATTCCGGGTTGCCGCTTTGGGACTCGAACAAGGTTGAAGATGCAGGTTACGGTATTCTGTACGGAGTACTCCGTAGCTTGAAGATGCTGATGTGAATCTATTTTTATCCATTCGTATGGAGATATTCTGGGGAACTGGGGAACTTGGGGAGATGGATGGGTTGTGTTGGCAATTGGGCTGGGCTGGGCTGGGCTGGGTTGGGCGGTGGTTGCTTTGCTGGTTCTCGGAGGTTATAGATCGAGGCCCCTCGGGGGGAGAGGGGTGTGTTGTGCAGTGGCTGGATCCTTCTGGCCTCGGTTGAGACAACTTCCCTATTGTAAGGGATGAGCTTTGCTATCTCTATTCATGTAGATACTGGACGAGGTAGTCGGTTCTCTTCAGGGCTTCAAGATGAATAGTTTGTTATTTTTCTATTTTGTGATTTGTTTTCTTTCACATGGGTTGCGAAGGTACCATCTCCAGAGTCAGTCATTGACTGGATCGCTATTCCCCCGGTATCGAATTCTCGTACCTGGCTCACATGTATGTACCTTTTGCCCCTGGTTCTTTATCTTGCTCATGATGGTACACAATTATACGAAAGTATGTAATTTGTATGAACTATTTGATATTTACGCAGTACAGTCGATTCAGAATACTTACAGTATATAGCACAGATACCCATACCCACATACGCAAGAGGAAAGTTAGAGCAAACGGGGATGAAGAACAACAGTGAAGTTAGGATAGAAAGTCACCATCAGATGCTAGGGTCACCTTCTTGCAGTCGTGTGATGGTCGAAGCCAACGACATCCCGAAGTAGCGGTATAGCAATCTACTGTACTGTACTTCCTCCGGCGTACTTCCTCACTGTATGTACGGAGTACCTGTACCTCGACTCCCTCGGGGAAATGGTTGCCCAATTTCTCGCCGCCTTTCCTGCTATTCTTGTCCTAAGGTAAGGCAGCTAATTTTTTTTGGTGTCCCTGACTTAGAGAAACTTCACATAGTCGATTGTCTAGCGGATTCTTCAGTTTCCTACTGTCATGAGAAAAAGGAGAGTAAAGATTGTTTTGTGTTTTGTGATTTGCAGTGGGTTCAAGTCCCACGGGACGGAATCACGAATTCGGTAGCCGCGAACAGAGGCCAGCCACGTCAATGCAAAGGAAAAGCCTCTTCTTCTGTCTACCCTAGCCATGTGATGAACCGAGACGCGCACAGCCAACATCACTGACTGATCCCCTGATTACTCCCTTCTTCCGGTCTGGATCTAAAAATGTCACACTCGATAGATTTCCATCGTCGGATGAATGGAGAATCGTAGGTAGCCTCATCCTGGAGAGATTCAAGTGATGTGCTACTACAGCACCAGCACCGACACCGACCTATTCTGTGTTGTGCATGTTCGCAGCACCATCCATCTTCCGTGCCCTCCCAGAAAAAGTCCGATTATTTGGAAACCTTTCAAGGATGAGGCTATCCACTCACATGTCTACGATTTCACCGTCATGAGATAAATCTGTAGATACAGCAGAACAAAGGTAGGGCACAGGAATTGCTAAAGCCTCAATTTCGCCCTGCCCTTTCTTCTTGCCTACCCGGAGTCGAGGGATGTGTGAGTGTGTGCCAGTGCTGCTGCTGCTGCTGCTGCTGCTGCTGAGTTATGGAGGCCCTTGTCTGTTACAGTCAGTAACTTACTGGCAGCAGCCGCGCAGCAACGAAGATCACATGATAACCAGCGGTGACAAGTTCCTGTCAGTATTTCTTGAAACTGTTGCTTGTGCTTTGACAAAACCCCAACAACACCTTTGGACCCACAGCATTGTACACAGTCCAACATCCCTTGTCCGTGCAAAGGAGAAGTAATAACTTAGTTAACTTTTCTTTTCCCCCGCAACACCCAAAACCAAATGCCTTAGAGAAAAGCCTCGTCCGAAACCTCAGCCCCCGGCTACTAGTTGCTGCAAGATGCTTCTCCAACGGTAATGCACAGTTGCAGGATAGGAAATCCCGGAAAAGGCAAGCTGCAACGCAGAGATGCAGCATCCTGCATTACTCTTTGTTTCTCGCTCCAAGCGGTGCATAGTTGCACTAACTAAAACTACCTTGATTTCTGTGGAGTGGGGGGAGGAGAGGTTCGCTCGCTGCGCACGCCCAAAACGAATGGAGGTGAGCGGAGCTATCTCGCCCGATGCCGTGTTCGGAAATGGAAAGTCGTGGAGGTGGAGGTTCTAGACGTTGTGGCTTATATGCACGATGCTAATATATTTTCGCAGGTTCTGCGGAAAGGTGATGCACTGCAGCCAGCGCTACCGGTTTGTTCATGCTGATGGTGGTGGATCTGATCTGGCGTCGAGCTTCGTTGCTACTTAGGCTTATGACGTTGGGGCTTAGTCAATGGATATAGCATAGCATCGAGTTGCTCTTTGGTTCATGCAGGGAACTTAACTGTGTTGGGGAATGACTTGACTGTTTTTTTTTTTTTTTCGTCTGCCAGTTGAGTGCGTGATGGTGTGACACTGCTACATATGGCGAGGTGCTTTGCTGTGGGTCTCATCATGGAATGAACCTCCGTGGTCTTTCTATGACTTGCGGTGGACATTGCTTCCTTTGGGGTTGGTGATTACTGCCTTCATTATGGCGGGAGAGAGATGTCATTGACTTGACAAGGATCGCTGAGGTTTGTCTCGGTTTCAGGGGCTAGCTACCTCTGATGCAAGCTGGTTAGGGGAAAGTGTCTATCATGATATACATGGATAGTCCTCGGGGAATTGGCAGGTCTATCTCCACGTAGTCTGGCCACAGTGATGTTCATGGCGCAATGTCGGAGAACCATGGAGTCACAATGTATTATCAGTCACTTGGTAGCCGTCAAATGCGGATTCGGGCCTGATTCTAGAACGGCCTCGCTCAAGTCCAGAGTGTCGTGCAATTGCGACATCATCCCTCATTTGCACCTGTATGTGTATGCCTATGAACGGTTCAGAACAGCAAATATGATCCCCGTCTCCAATCCCCTCAGAAGTCGTCATCGTGCCTCCCATACTGCCCGAATCAGGGATCCTTCCCGAAGCCTACAAATTTATATCTGACTGCAGATATTGCCTCCTCGTCGGAATGTACGGCACTACTGTCTGAACAAGACAGACAGTACATAGAAGGCGCTCGTGCTACCATTTGGAGCAATTGCTCTGAAGAAAAAAGGGGGTTGATCCCAGCTTGTCTGCTGATCAAAAGAAGCGTAAGCACGGTAGCGCCTCAGTCTCGCTCTGCAATGTTGACTTGCGTCCAACGAGCCGGTTCAGAATCAATGCTTCCTGTCTAAATGCGACTGACTGGCTGCCGATTTGCATAGATTTGGGCCCCGAGCTGGCCCTCCAACCCCCTCCCCTTCCCCCGGGAGTCTGTCATCTCGTGTCAAAAGCCAATCTGCAATTCATAGACCAGCATCCCCTGTGACAGGGAGAGGGCTGACATGCTGTTACAGGTGAGTCTGCATTAGTTTAGGGGGGGAAGGCAGGAGTAGAACATGAATCAAAAAAAAGGAATGAGAAAAGCATCTGCTGCGTCATTCGACAGGGAAGGAAAGGCGATCGAAGGCGAGTCTAGAATTCGAGGAGTTGAAGTGGCTTGCTTGTGTTCGGCGATGCAGGTTGCTGTTGCTGGTGTAGTCGCTGTTGTCGCTAGTGTAGTTGTGGTAGTAGTAGTTGTTGTTGTTGTTGTAAGCTGGTGGTCAGCTGAGCAATTGCAGGGGTTAATTGGATGTGTGTGTTTTCCCTCCCTCTACCGCCTTTTGTCCTCAGCTACTCCGCATTCTCTAAGGGATCTGCCCATACTTGGTATACTTCCTTTCCTCTCCGTCGTATTGGCATGTTTGATGTCCGACAATCTGAATCATAATTCAGATCCATTAAGGTACACATTCCCCCACTCACTACGGAACCACAGACCCTTGTCCATCTGTCCATATTCGAAGCGAGACAGCCGACGGATAATCTCCAGTGGCAGATCAGACGAGCGTCAGCTGGCAGCAGAGGTGGCAGTGGTTCACTGCAGTCTCTACAACATTCCCACTATGGAAATCATTTCCAGTTCTTCTCTCCCCCTCTCCGGCCCCCGGCCCTTCGGCCCCCTCTTCCTCCTCCTCCCTTCCCACCCCTGATCATCAGGTATACCCGACTCTATATAGCCTATCCTTCACTTAAGGCAACCAACCCATATTGACCGCGATCGACGTCGTATCCCTTCAGCTCCGATCCTCACTCTCCCGTACTTTATCGCACCTTAGGCCGATCACATCCAGATCGAGCCATTGATCGATTGTGTAATACCCAATCGAGGTGGACGTCTGTGCCTAACACTCGTAAAGAGTCATCTTGACTCGGCGCTTAAGCCGGCTGATCCATCTCAGGCCTCGCCCCGAGTTTTCAGTCATGGGACCCGGTTGACTATGTTGGTCACACATTTCATTGAATGGATTATACACCGCAGTGACATAAGATGTCCGCCGCACAAACATCAAGCATTACTATATACACGGCTCCGCATGAGGTATCAAAACAATGGAGGAAAAGAAGCACAAGAAGAGAAGATTCCAAATCTGAATCTGTTAAAACTCGCTTATTCTCCGATGACCACTCCGTTCGACAGCTTCAATCCGACAGGCAGCCCCCGGATGTACTCCTTATCGAACGAGGACCCAAGCTCTTGGGACAGGACTTCCTCGATGTCCATGTACATGTCGTATCTGGTTGAGAGGTCAGAAACCTGCAGCTGATGCTCGGAACTGATGCTTCACTTACGCGTTCATTTCTTCAATCGTGAGCTTCTTCTGCTCATCCTCGACCTTGTACTTTGGCATGTTGGTATTGCTGGAGAAGCCTGGAGAGTCTCCGTCAGTCACATACTTGCAGTGTGGTCAAATCCCAACAGTTGCCTACCGATGCGCTCGTTGATGTTGTATGCTGCCTTGGCTGAAGCGGCTTGGACTTTGGTGGCTCGAGGCAGTCGCACCTTCTGATAGACTGACAGCGCCGCTGCGACATCACCGGAGAAATAGGGCTTGCTGAATATGATTCCGAGGGCCGCGGCGTCTTCGATGGCCATGCAAGCGCCCTGGCTCTGATGAGGCATCATCTGCAGAAAGTAAATCAGTACCTCGCTCACAATTGTTCGTGTAGGGAAGCAACTTACTGGATGTCCTGCGTCTCCCAGCAGGCAGACCATATTGCTGGCGATATACGGGTAAGGTTGACTGTTCACAGAGTTCCAACTATTAGTGAGATGTCCAGCACTAACTCACAGATACTGCAGAAAACAACCCAGGGGCGAGACTTACTGCACCCACAGGCGCCAGGGCCTAATCTCGATGCCGATGGCCAGATGAGAGCGGACTTGTTCATCTAATTCCGGGTAAGGAGCGAGCAGCTCTTCGACCGGACGATCCTCCCCGCCCCATGTGTGCGTCGTGAAGTCTCCCTTCTCGCGAGGAAAGAAGCAGTAGTAAGACAGCAACTTGCCGCCGTTGCAAGGGGAGAGGACGATCTTATCCCACTTGCCTTCCTGGCCGCCCCAGTATTCCAACGCACTGTCTTGGGAATAGTCGACCAACCCCAAGCGGACCGCATCCTCCGTGTGGACATTGGCATGCAAGCAGCTCGACGGCGCCGGAGTCTTCTCGGGATGAAGGCCAATGATGCCTCGCACGGCCGAGCCGATTCCATCAGCACCCACGATGAGATCGTGCCGCACCGTTTCACCACCGTCAAAGGTAATCACACCCGTCTCGAGGTCAATATCCTGGCACTACACGCACGATCATCAGCAACCGTCACAGTTCAAAGATAAGTATACCCCGCCAAACTCACCTTATGGTTCACCTTCAGTGTGACCGGCGTTCCCGCCCCTTCCTCCTGCAGCGCGCAGTCCTTCAACATGGCATGCATATACTGCCGATGGAACATATTGTAGACGTACCCCCAGCGCTGCTCGTAGTCGTCCAGATCATAGACACTGACCGGCTCCCCTGTCTTCCAATCCCGGTTGATCAACTTCTGCAGCACCACGGGGTCGCCCTTGGCGATATCGACCCCCCATTCATGCAACCACCGGGTCCCATTCGCCGCACACGAGATTGACGCGCCCACCTCCCCCGCAAAATCATGGCGCTCGTAGATGACCACTGCATGGCCCGCCCGCCGCAGCGCAATCGAAGCCGCCAGGCCCCCGATCCCGCCGCCCACGATCCCCACACTCAGCGGTCTCCAACCAGACGCAGTTGAGCCCATCTTCTCTGTTGTATGATACTAAATCACCAAAGCCTAACAGCAAGCCTCTGAGGAATATAAGAAGGTGAAGCTGAAGAGTAGGATGATACTTCGATGCCAGAGAGACCCTATAGTTTTACAGGCGGAAGCCATCTATTTAAACTTCCTCTCCCCTCCTTCTTTGCCATCACTATCTACATCATAGGCTATCCCGATTGAAGAAAGAAAGATACGAGACGGGTCCAGTCGCCGATTGTCCATGAGCTCACGAATCATCGCCTCCCTCTCTGCATCCCCCCAAAACAGTTATCAGTCGGGGGCGGGCAGGCGGGCAGGCGGCCCGCGCACTCGAAGTGCATTATCCGCTTCGGTCGAGCGGTCGTAGCCGACGGACGCGGCGGCGGAACTGGCACCCTCGGCTTGTATATCGACTGGCTTATCTTTTGACTCGGGGATTGAGATGGGATTATGCTTCGTTGGATCGGATCTTGGGTGTGAGATTTACGCAAATAAATTTTTGATAAGGGTGGGTTTGGCTGTGGGAGGTTCGGGCGGATGTTGCACGCCCGCTTGTATACATATCCTTTTGGGGAGGGGGGGGGGGGTTACTTTACGGCAGGCTATTGCTGTGGATATGCAAGGTTTGGGAGAGATTGGTGCGCCTGAGGGTTTCTGGATAGGCGGGGCTCTGAGAATTGGGTACAGCAGATATCCTGAAGAGCTGAAATTATATATCCTAGTCAATTGGAGATAATAGGTACAGTACAACGTAGCTATAATCGGTATGTGGGAATGTTCTCCTGGAGCTTTCTTTCAACAAAAAGATTTCTTTTCTTTTTCTTCCGCATCAACCTGAGCCAATCTCAAACAACATGAGAATAGAAGTGGACGATGTGTGTCACGGAAATTTATTATACTTTGTTGATTCCCTTAGTTTTCTCTATGTACCAACAACCATAGTGACACCACTCCACGCGCACCACCTCGGTTTGTTCATTACCCTTGCCGAGAGGAACATATATTGAAGAAAGTAAATAGAAGTATCATCTCAAGCCCCGTTGTGACTGTAAACGCCAAAGGTGGTGGACTCTCTTTTAGCCAGCAGAATAAGAAGAAGAAAAAATTACATTCCTGTATACAAGAAATCTAGAATTCCTGGTCATCGTCACCGGAGATGATGACGTTGTTGATCTGCGGAGTGAGTTGCTTATTAGCCTTCTTATCCTGTCTTCGACTTAGTTGGATAAGCAAACTTACCTTAAGAACCATGCGGCAAAGCTGGGTGGCGAGCAGGAGCTGCGAGCGCTTGCCGATCAAGGGGTCGATGGCGAAGTGCTCTCTCATGTCTAAATAAGAAGGGTTAGTTGGAGTTGCGCAGCAGCGAGATATGTTGTTTGAGGGCTACGAGGACATACCGTTGTTGCCAGTCAGCATGCAGTCGACACCCAAGCGGGAGTTGTTCTCCTTGACCTGGCGCGACTTGATCGAAGCCAGGGTCTCAATGGGGCTCAGGCCAGAGTTCTCAGCCAGCGCCAAGGGGATAGCGTCCAAAGCATCGGCGAACGCGCGCATGGCGTACTGCTCGATACCAGGGCTCTGCGAGAATGTTAGACAAATGACTCAAATGTTGGTCCAGAATTTAGCAGAGGCAAATTCCACGTACCTTCACAGCAGCATCCTCAACAGCAATGGAGCAGGCAATTTCGGCAGCACCACCACCGTAGACGACACGGTTATCGCGCACAAGGTTGCGCACAACGCAAAGGGCATCGTGCAGCGAACGCTTGGCCTCGTCAATGATCTGGTGGCCATGGTCAGCATTCGGTCACGTCAATTCGATTCAGCTGTCCAAACTGACCATTTTGTTGCTTCCTCGTACGAAGACCGTGACGGCGCGGCTGTTGGCGCACTCCTCGATCACTAGCATCTTCTCCCGGGTAGTACCAAAGGTCATTTCGCGAACGCGACCGGCAGTTCCAAGCTTCTCAGGGCTCAGATCCTCGAAGCGAGGAACAATGCGACCGTTCGTGGCGATAGCGATCAACTCAATCTCCGGTCCACCGACCCAGCGGACAGCAGGAAGCTTGTTCTGGAGCAGAAGGTGGTTGGCTTCGTCGTCGAAACCCCACTGGCAGATGACCAGGTTGGCCCCGGAATCCTTCAGGTTCTGGATCATTTCTGTGAACTTCTCCCTCTCGTAGTCCTGCAACTTCTTGAACTCCTCCACGGATGTGATGTCGAGCTTGTGCTTGGTCTTGGGCTTCGGGGGCTCAAACGGACAGGTCAAGATAGCCAGCTTAGCATCCCGGACCTCATCCGGCATCTGAGGGTGAGAGAAGTCCTTGTCGACAATAACACCCTTAACGAGAAGAGAGTCCTCAAGAGCACCTCCGACCTTTCCGTCAACCTTGATCAGCTCGAAATCGACATCCTTGCGCTCGAGGTCGGCCACGGAGAGGACAGCATCGATGGCGATCTTGGCGAATTGGTCGTGGGACTTGGAAACGCTGTAGAAGAGTCAGATGGGATTGACTGCAGAAAACTCGGGATACGGTCACCGTACATCTTGGAACCCAAACTCGTCTTGGCAACCTTCAGAAGGTTGGAGGTGTCCTCCTTGGAGAACGGAATCTCATCGCTGATCTTATCAAGTTGTGCAATTGCGATCTCACAGGCCTCGTCGTATCCGTCTGCGATCCGGATAGGGTGGATGCCCTTGTCGATGAGTTCCGACGCTTGCTCCAGCATGGCTGCCGCCAAAACCACAACACCAGTAGTTCCGTCACCGATTTCCTCGTCTTGAGACTTCGACAACTCAACTAAAAGCTTGGCAACGTTGTTTGTGATTTCCATCTGTCCAAAATCTTCTAGTCAGAACTTTTGCCAGGGAGGACTGCGGGGAGTAGTTGTCGGCACGAACCTGGCCGAGAATAGTAGCGCCGTCGTTCGTCACGGTGATATCGCCATCAGGGGAAATAAGGATCTTGTCAAGACCGCGGGGACCCTGGAGTAGTCTTTAGAATCGGAATCGAGACGCATCTCACATTCGACAGGCGACAGATCATACCAGAGATGTCTTGACGATGTTGGCAACCGTCTTCGCGGCGACAATGTGTGACTTGACGGCTTCGGTACCATGCTGTCTCTTCTTCTTGCCTTGACTGTCCGGATGAATTGCGATCAGCGACATATCCTATACCGACGAAATTGTGGCACACCATCTGAGCGGGGGATCGTAACGTACTCCCGAACAACGATGAACGGCCGGCCTTGTTCATCCTTCATCACAGAAGCTGAGTGTGGTAGTCAGCGACCTCGGAACGTGTATCATAATGACGAGGATAGGTAGCGGAGGGGTCAACCTTGAGACAAATCAAGCTCTGTAGCCACAAGAAAAAGACGTTAGCACCGTGGTCCAAAAATGAGGGGTATCAAGACATACGCATAGCCATTTTGACGGTCTGCCCACTTGGCGGGAATCTGGAGGGGGAGGGGGAGGGGAAAGGTTAAACAAAAGCCCACAAATCACAAATTGAAAAGTGAACGGAGAAAGAAAAGGGCCCCCAAAACAAGAGATTAGGAGTGCGTGAGGGGGGGAGTAATGATAAAAGAAGGGGGAGGGGGTAGAGAGAGGGGATGCTTTAACCGGCACAACTTCAAATGACGGGCGATTGTAGAAATTCATCTGGAGATGGAGGGAGCCAAAAGCGGGCTAGTGAGCTGCTTGCCCAAAGGGGTCTAGCGTAGATCTTCCATCGCGCGCCTGCGCGACTAGCCGGTAGCCATTTCACTGTCCATCGTCACTCTTCTTGTTGCTCCTCCGTACTCTTCTCCCAGTTCTTCATCCCCCAATCTTCTATCGGCTTGCGGTCGGTGACCTGCACACGCTCACCGATCTATGAAAGCCATTCGAGTCAAATTTGACATCGCATTTCGGCCGCCAAGCTGTTTTCGCGACTCTTCAATTTCGCCGCATCACCGTTCCAAACAACAACAATGCCTCGTGAGCATCAATTGCCCATGACCGGGCGTCTAAACCTGTCGCGCGCAAAGATTGACTGACAAACCATCATTTACCATCAGCTCCGGTGAGCGACGTGTCCGATGACGAGTCGACTGGCGAGTCTATTCCCTACGAGGAGGCCCCCGCACCCAAGAAGCAGGCAAAGAAGCAGGCCGTTGACGATAACGAGGATGATGAGGACGAGGACGAAGAAGAAGACGTGTGAGTACGGTCAGGAAGTGCTTAGGTTGGCCTTGGAAGTCCTGACTTCGCGCAGTTACCACGTCGAGAAGATCGTCAGTCATGAATGGGGCAAGAAGGTGCGCGCGCTCTCACTTGGGCCTGTTGTCCAATTACTGCTACTTTGGAAGTCTCGCTAACTTTGCGACAGGGCGAGCTGCTCCTGCAGGTAAAATGGAAAGGATATGATGACCCCGCCGACATGACACTTGAACCAGAGGGAAATCTGTGCGCTCTTCGCTTCTGCCTTTACCTTTGCACAAACCGAACTGACCCAAATGATTTTGTCCAGCGATGGTGCGCAGGAGGCGGTCGATGAGTACTTTTCCAAACTGGGTGGCCGTCCGGAGAAGCCTCAAACCAAGAAGCGCAAGTCCTTGGGAAGACCTCCTAAATCAGCAACCCCCGAGCAGACACAACCGAACAAGCGGAGAAAGTCTCGAGCAAATGAGTCACCGGAACCCCAAGCAGCAGAAGAAGACAGTGACTCCGGCTCGTGGGTGCCCAAGTCTAAGAGCTGGGAGAAGGAGGTGGATAACGTCGACACAATCTTCCGCGAGCCGGGCTCGGGGAACCTGCTTGCCATCTTGAACTGGAAGAATGGCAGAAAGTCCAAGGTCCTTATTGAAACTTGCTATGAAAGATGCCCTCGAAAAGTATGTGCTCCTGTGGCCTATGGGATCTGAGAGAGAATAATGGCTAACAACAGGCAAGATGCTTGACTTCTACGAGTCTCATTTGTAAGTAGTCACTTGTATTCCAGGACGACGCTGTTCATAGGCTAACGTCATGGTAGGGTCTTCAAAGAAGGTTGAGATACCAGGTGGAGTCTGCCGTCTCTTTTTCTCCCAGCAAATTGGGTGGAGGATCCAGGCATTCGCCTTCTTCCCTTGGTAATCTCCCCAATGATGCGATTACTGGCCACGAAGCGTTGACAACGAACCGTGCATGTGGGTGTTCTGTTGGGGCGCTTCTGACCACCATTTACAAATGCTATGACTGTAAGATAAACCCTCTTTTGGGTAGTTCTTGGACATGAGAGGTCAGCGGAGGGCCCAGAATGTCCCAAGATGAAAGAGCACTTGCACACATCTTGAAATACATCTTGCTTCTTTCTTCCGTTGCCATCTTCGTTATATTCCCGGGTCTTTCTCTGAGTTTTGTTCCTCATTTGTGTCGCCTAGCGTTCCTCTGTATTCTAGTTGCATGTTATCAAATTTCCAGTTTGCGGTGGACTTCTTATTCAATGGTTTCTGTCTCAAGACCGGCAGCCCTTGCCATGCTTAGATATTCCCACCTAGCATCGAACGCTTCCGCGCCGTGTTTCTCTAGAACCCGCTGGATCCCTCGAGTCTCTTTTCCTTCCACACACCTGTCATCTCCCGTGGTCCAGACCCCCGGAATATCGTCTGGAATGTCCTTTCCGGCCACCAAGAATTCGAGAACCTTATCTGCCAAGTCTGGGTCCATACTTGTGCAGCGCAAGGCCTCGATGATCTGTGCCTCTGTCGCTCTGCCATTCCGAAGGCGACGGTCAATCCAAGTGTCAATATCCTGCTCCGGGATCTCTGGCTGAGGGTCGGGAACGGGTTCAGGCTCGGGACTTGAAGGTAAGAAAGGAAGCTGAAGAAATAGAGGATCTATCTCCGGGGGTATTGGAGCGGGGTCAGCGCCATTTTGTGGCTTATCGGTTCCAGTCTCGGTCTGTTCCGGAATGGATTGTTGCTCGACTCCGTTCGTAGTTGGAGAAAGCTTCTCCCCACCAATCGATGCCTTCGGATCGATTTGTGGTGGAGGAGGCCTCACAGGCTCATTACCTTTGTGCTGAAGGCGTGCAGGTGCAGCTGCTACACGTTCTGGCACGGGCTCAGCGGTTCTTCTTTTGGGAGCTGAACGATGCATTGGGTCAGGTTGGTCCGCTTCGTCGCCAGTCTCCGACACGCGTTTCCTCTTCTTGTCAGCTGGTTTGCTAGAAGAGGGCACAACCTCATGCTCCCGTGAGAGAATTGCTGGCGGCTGAGTCTGCGCTGTAGGGGCCGTCACCTGTGCAGGAGCAACCTCCTGCGAATCTTTTTCTTCAAGAGCAGAACCTTTTGGCATGCCCCCCGGACGCGGACGACCACGTAGCCTCTTTAGATAGCGATCACGCCATGATTGAAATGTATGTCTGGGGTTCTAGGGGGTATTCAGTCACGATTAAACATCTCTGCGGGGATCTATAGATCGAGGTGGACACTACCTTCGCCGCAAGTTCTTGGTAAATCTTATTCCCTGAAATAGAGGCTGTCGAGTCTCGCTCATACTTCTGCATCCAGTCCCATAGAAGCTGGTCATCTGCGACAGTGTAGGGCACTTTGTGGTTTCGCGTAGGGATGTATGAAGCGCCAACTGGTCGAGCTTCTGATGGCCCGGCTCGATAAGGCTCTAGATTCTGCATCCGCCCTTTGCGGATGGAGTCCTCGATGAACTTGAAGGAGTATCTGTGCATAAATGAGTTGTGAACATCTAGGCAGAGTGACGTACTCACGTGTCCGGCGGGAGATTCCTCCGTTTGTGATCGACTATTTTGATTTCGGCATCTTTCTCAAACAGCCTTATGTGGCCTCCGTGTTGCTTGAGCCCTTATTAGGTAGGAGCTCGCTATTAATCCAGGGCAAAGGGTGAGTACCTGGATAAGATCTTTGAACCGGTTTCGTTGGGGAACATTGTGTGAGAGCCAGAAGTGCTTTCCCCGGAAAAGCGTCCCATTCGCGGTTACTGGGGCCTCATGACTGACTGCCGTAGTTGCCTCAGCCATAATAATCCATAAGAATATCCGTTTGGCCTGAAACCCTTGGAAAGTCGCGTCGGAGCTGTAACGCCCCTGCAAAGCCTCCGATGACGCGCTATCACGTGTTTCCGATGATGAGTATAGATCCAATTGCGCCGGATGGTTTGTATGTCTTTAGGTCAATGTGTTTTGTGCTTATAACAAACATAGCATCATCGTGACATGGGAAATGTTAGAGCAAGAGCATGCTCTGAGCAGTCGAAACAATTAGCGTCGAAGGCACTTTGTTTGTGGTGGTCATGACAGACAATTGTGGACTGGAACTGGAACTCGGCCAGCACCAGCCCATTCCCCTTCCTGTAAGTTATCTTTGGGGGAAAATACGGTCACGTGCCCGGCATGTTAAACGGCCGGTGGGCAACAACCGGGGATTCATCTCTTATGGCACTGCAGCCTTCCCATTATCTTATGAGGCGAAATACGACGGGGTGTCTGAATTCATGATCGAATTATTTACTCATGTCAGCTCAATGATATATTACTCCAAGCTAGCAGTACCTATGCTGTACATAGTTGGAATCTGATTGCGACTCAAAATCGGACCCCCCAAGCTGGTTCGACTCGGAGCAAGATGGGATTGCTACGGACCATAGCGCTGGCCATCCTTGGAATTTCAGGCTTTGTATTTGTCGCCCTGTTTGGAAGACTACCTGCATTTCGGTAAGCTATGTATTGGTCCTCGAATGCAGTGAACTGCGACTGATGCATGCTTGTAGCAAAACTCCAATTGGGTTCCTTCACAGAGTTCTTTGGATACACATCCCTAGAGGATTTGCAAAAGTCGATGAAATACTGTTCAGCGGCCGGCTTTTCTCTTGCTGCAGCCAGGCTGGCAACTATGTTCTCAATGAGAATCATCCGCTTGTTCTGGTTCGTCGCATGAATCAGAAGTCAAGCTCGCCTCCCTGCTGACTGAACTTAGATATTCTTTGCCTCACTTCTGGTAGCAGGCCAGTGCATGTTCATTCCAGCCGCTTGGGCCAGAATCTCTCCGGCCCACCATGTATGGATACCGCTCGTTGTAGCACTCCCTTACTACTTCTTATATGCGAGCATAACCACTAAGTCTTTCATTACCCCCAAAAATCACGCTGAGGAGTTGGAACGCTATCCGTACGATAGGGTCATCTTCCATCCAGGACACCGCTGCAGCACATGCCGGTTCCTCAAGCCGGCGAGAAGCAAGCACTGCAGCACTTGCAAAGCATGTGTTTCCCGACACGACCATCATTGTGTATGGTTGATGAACTGCGTTGGGTTGCACAACTATCACTACTTCCTGTCGCTGATAGTATCGTTATGCGTCATGCTGACTTATGGCTCGTGCCTCGGATACACTCTGCTGTACCAGACCTACGACAAACTGGTTCCTCCTGACAATCCTTTGCGACACACGCGACAGAGCTGGACGACCTTCTTCAACATCTGGGCCGTGGTGATCGCTGCCGATGTTCGCATTGGCGCGACAACCCTGTTGATGACGATGACAGCCCCTTTGGCGGGGGCCTTTCTCGTATACCATTCCTATCTGATTTGGGCCGGTATGACCACCAATGAAAGCTCCAAGTGGTCGGATTGGAAGGAGGACGTTGCCGACGGCTATGTATATAGATCGACCAAGGACGTGATATATGGCAATTCGCCCTTGCTCGCAGAGTACCAGGGGTCACCCACAGACTGGCCCATGAGCAGCGAACAGGTCCTTGCACTCACGGATGGGGAGGCTCCAAAGGAAGGACACCTGTTATCTCCAGATTCGAACGAAATATCGCAGCCCAGCGACCGAGATGCTCCTATCGACCCGCGGTGGAGTTTGGTACATAGTATGCGGGAGGTTGAGAATATCTATGACCTGGGGTTCTGGAACAACTTGCGCCATGTTTTCGGGCTCTCCATTCGAGCCAAGATGTCATGAAAAGGTATGGGCTCTGTATATACTACATTATTTAGTAGTGATGTGAATCCATGATTGTACATGAATCGTCCCGAATAGGCAGTCAGTCGGCGGCGCCGCGGCGGGATGGTTCCGGAGCCGGAAAAATTCCCCCTCAGCGGGTGTTATTCTACGAGTAATTATTCCAAAGTTCTTTCCTTCTCCGCCCGCACTTAGTTGGACTTCTTCTTCTTCTTCCCCGCAACAATCAATTCGCAAAGTCCAGCTGCTCAAAACCAAACAGTATCCTTAACTTCGCGCCCAAGATGGCTGACCGGGCAGCAGCGGAGATGAAGCCCAAGTGCACTCCTGCAGAGCTTATGCTAAAGGTTATTCTGACGGGGACCTTGAGCCACTATGAGACCCGGGGTATGATTGATGACAAACGTCTTGAACACATGCTCTCTGCGGGCAAGCAGATTCTTTACAAGACACACCAAGAAAGCGATGTCAGGTGTGTTGCTGAAGCATTTCCCCTACTATTCCTTGAAACCCATTTCGTGTTCTGCAGCCCCACGCTTGCACTGTTCCCCGCACAAAGACCGTGTTGTTGACCGGCCGACTGATTGAGCTCCCCTCGATAGACATAATCTCGGCCTGTCACCGGACATCTGGCAAGGCTTCACAGATGTTTTGACCAAGGCGATCCCCGTTCTCGAGTCCCAGTCGTTCGCCTGGAAAAGCCCTCCGACCGCCAACTACGACCACTCTTCCTCCAACCTCATAGCCTACAACTACTTCTCACTTGTCAAGGATATCGAGCGCCTGAATGACTTGTGTACCATCGCCCGCAATCTCCTTGCCACCACGAAGAAGGCCCAAAATATGGCGGCGGAGAAAGGCTTTGATCAGAGGATTCTAGCCCTGGTGGACACCTGTGTCAGAGTCACCGCGCGGGGATTTGATGGCGAAACGAACGCACGGAACGAGGAGCGCTGGCAGAAAGTCGTCAACCTCTACAAGCGCCTCCTGATTACGTGTCTGCAGTTCATGCACAATTTCATCATGCACAACGAGCAGCGGAAGATGGTTTTGTGGCTGGACCTCTTCGGATACCATTCCACGGGAGATTCGAACATCATTCAGCCCCGGGAGCCGCTTGATCCGGCCTTTGCTCAGCCTGAAGGAATGGCGCCGATTGTCAAAACCGGGGAGCGGATAGTCAACCCCCCAATCCGGGCTCTCTACGATCAGACTGCGGAGGACTTGCTTCTGGAGACGATTTCTAATTTCCCCCGGGAACCCGCGACGATCAAAGAGGAGGCGGCCATGCTGCTTCTAGCAAACATCAAGGACCACATGGAGAAGCTGCTAGGGCGCGATCTGACCGCCATACAGGAGATGGGCAAAGATCCGGAGCAGGTCAAGGAGATTCGCGCAGCTTTGACTGCTATTCTCGGAGCCAAGGTAGATGGGTGGTCTGATCTCCAGGATAGAGCCAAGGACCTTCCGCCAGCCCTGCCAGAAGATGAGCCTCCTCGCAAGAAGGCGATTGTGACGATAGATCGGAGCCTAACAGCTGGTTTCCCACGCGTTTGTTGGACCGATCTCCCCGACCTTAGCGAATACGGGGCGCTTTCGGCTGGTGATGCAGTTGTCATGGAGGAAGATATGAGTATGCCCCGGTCTGCCCAGTCTGCGGCCGAAACTCTACAGGAAGCGAAGGATGAGTTGATGGCGCGCCTGCAAGAGAGCTCCCAGATCGGTGGTGATGGAGATCAGGACTACGATACTGGGGATGCGGGCACAGTTGGTGATGACGACTCGCGCAGCCTGGAGGCTGTTGCAGACGGAAGCATGGAGGAGGAGGAGGAGGAAGAGGAGGAAGAGGAGGATGACGATGAAGATGACGACGATTACCGCGGCCGTCCAGGAGACCAACAACGCGGCCTGTTGACGGATATACCGCTTGTGCTTGGACCCGCAGAGATCGAAGCGCTTCCGATGATCATCCAAGCCGGTATTGTTGACAGTTTCGGCTTGAAGGGCGGAGAAAGGACGGGGTCGCGGAATATGCAGGCTTTGCGATGCCACATCCTACTCACGCAGGAGACTGGTCGCAACCTGTTGAGAGAGTTGTTGATTTTCATTGCTGCCTGGGATCTTCCTGATGACGAGCTCTACTTCAAGATGATGGTTCAGATCATGGATGCGGTTCTCAAGAACGGTCTTATGTCGCACGCATACTCTGATTTCGGCCAGCCCAAGGACATCATTTCTCCTGCGCAGGCAGTCGTGGTCAAGATTCTTACACACATTTTCCGAGCTAAGTATTCTCCAGCATCAGTCACCGGTACTTCTCAACATACCGCAACCAAGAGCCCGGCCCCTTTGTCCCGAGTCGACATCCTTACCGTTCGATACATTTTCACCATTTTCCGGGGCAACATCATTCCCGAGACTTGCGCTTTGATCTACTTGCAGGGACAGATTCGCGCCGGAAGGGCTTTACCGGAGGACTTCCCTCTGAACTTGTGGGATATGGAGCGGGTCTACGAAGGTGTCTATCAGTTCTTGGAGTTCTTCGCTGTGCTGACCGAGAACAACGACTGGAAAAACCTGCTTGTCAAGTGGGAGATCGTCTATGACTTGGTGACGTTGATCAAGGAGCTTGAGGCCAGCATCCCCAAGGGCCAGCTGAATTCTCTTACTCTGGGAGGACGCAACAGCCCTTCCCGGGACCACCAATCTAGCTCGGGTTCCGGGCCGGTAGCAGTCGAGAGACCATATGACCCCGGTGACCCCGACCCCGTTGATGCTGGGCCGGGATCGAGAGCAGAGTCGCCGCCCATCACGGAGGACCCGTCGGAGTTTGAGTGGCGCAATCTGAAGAAGCTGGTGGTGCTTGTTCTCTCGTCTTTGGTGTGGAAGTGTCCCGAGGTCCAGGACCAAATCCGGCGCTATGGCGGTGTGGAAACCATCCTGTCCTGCACCAACTTTGATGCTCACAACCCCTACATCAAGGAGCATGCCGTGATGTGTCTGAAGTTCTTGTTGGAAGGTAACCGCGAGAATCAGAAGATGGTCGAGGAGTTGGAAGCGCGCGAGGTGGTCAAGGATGACAACGGGGTCCTGGAGAGGAGTGGCCTGGAGGCTATCATCGACAAAGCGGGCAAGTTGGCTCTTCGACCCAAAGAGGAGCTTTGATCTAGGATTATAGCTTAGCTACGCTATTCTTCCTGACATGATAGACTTAGAAACAAAAATAGTAGTTCATGAATGAAACGTCTCTATGCAAATTCAACAGCAAGCTTTGCGGTTCAAAGGCATAGTTCCGCAACATCATGCCCTATTATTCAGCACGTATCTGTAAACCTAACCATACATGCCATCCCACTCCTCCTCCTCATCATCCACCGCCGGCTTCCGCCTGGCCTCCGCCTTGTCCCTCTCCTGCTTGGCGAAATCCGTGCGATCGAGCGGACACGTTCCCCGCAACCTCAACCACGGCCGCACGCACTCCAAATCAAACAGATGCGTCGGATGACACGGCAACCGCACGACAAGGGGGTACTGATCCTCCAAGAAGGGGTTATTGCAAATCGGACAGACCTGCGACGAGTTCAAGGATGTCTTGGGCACGCGATCGAGCACTACACGAGAAACCATACATTATCAGCCAAAACAAAACCCATTTCTGCTTGTATTCCGCAAACACGAAATACCCCGCCCCCCTAACCACCCTTTTCACCCCACCCCGCCGCAAGAGAATGAAAACCGGAATACATACCATCGCAAAACTCCTCACTCACCCCCTCCACCTCCTTGGGCGGCCGCTCCGCCGACTGCAACAACGACGCAATCATCTCCGTCAGCAGCTCGCTGCCCCCGCTGACGTCGGCATCCGTATCCTCCGGCCCGAAGCTGGGGATCCCACCTGCCGCCGCCGCGGCGATGGTTCCGCCCCCGCCCCCGTCGCGGCGCATCACGTTCAACGCTTCGGCGAGCGTGTAGAAGGCTGCGCTGATGTCGCGCGGGACGGGCACGGCGTGCGGCCGGTGGGTGCTGTGCGATTCATCCGGGGTGATTTCGGAGAGGGTGGCGAAGAAGCTGGAGAGGTCGGGGCGGCGCGGGTGCGTTGTGGTTGTTGTGGTTGTTGTTATTGTTCCTCCTGTGGTGGTGGTGGAGGTTGAGGAAGGGTCGGTGGTGTTGTGTTCCACTTTTTGGGAGGGTTAGTTGGACTTGAACTGGGGGGGTTGATTGGGTTTGGGTTTGAGGGGGATAGCGGGGGTAGGAGGATGGTACCTTCGTAGGTAGACATGATGGGAGCTGTGGGAGCTCGGGGAGCTCGAGGGGCTGTGGTGAGGGGTTTGTGTTGCGGTGCGATGGGTTTGGGATGGATGAATGGTTGGTTGGAGTGGGGAATATAGATTGGAAGGGTTTTCGTGGGGGAGAATGGTGGTAGAGACTGCGGTGACGTTGGCGTCTGAACGCTTCTGCGGCAGGTTGGTGAGGTTGAGAGAAAAGAGCTCGATAAGGTACGCTACTTAAATGGCGGCGGCGGAGATGAGATGCGGAGGCAGCAGCCGATAACGCGTTGCCGCTCGGCGGCGGAGATTCCGATCGGGCGGAATCTCGGTCTTTACTGGCTACTAGGTGCTTTACAAACTATGAACTGCTAAGATTTCCGATGTAGAGCATGAGAAGGGTAAATAGATGCAATCCTTAACTATATAAGTAAACTAATAGTATGATCGCGTTAGTAGTTAAAGTCCTCATATACTACGTTCTTACCAGTGAGCCATTTCAAAACAGAGCTTTTCAAAGCCGAACTGCCGCAGAAATACCATGTCTCGGCCAATGACAGATCCAAATCATCTGTGTCTATCCTGCGTCGTGAAATCTGTGCTCCAGAGGAGACGACAACCTCATACTGCCGCTTGATGAGCTCGTCCTCCGGGTCAGACCCGGTGAGAAACAAAGACGTCGATCTGGGCAGCGCCGGAAACCGCTTGAACGTATCCCACACCAAACCCACGTCGCTGATTGATATAGACCACAATAGTCGTAGCCGACTAAGATCCAGACCGGGGAGCTGGGCAAGCACAGGCGTTATCCCAATGCCACCTGCTATGAAAGGCAGGATCTCATTTCCCGCTGAGTTTATCTGGAATTCTCCCCCAACCCCTTTGAGAGGGACCTCAAGGCCGGCTCGTTCATTGACTCCCCAAAGATAGCGAGTCACATTACCGTGCTTCCTGGCTGTTATTTCGAACTCTGGTGTAGAGATTCCCTCGCCTGGATAAGATGAGATAGTGAACGTCCTGACATAATCGTCATTGAGGCTGCTCGGGTCATCGTCTCGCATGTGGCTGTAGCCGAGATTCAGCTCATCCCAGAACGAGAATGTCGCGTACTGCCCTGGAATCCACTTTCCAAGTTTGACTGGATCGGAGATGCGGAATCGGAAACGAGCAATGGCTGGAGTAAGAATCTCTTTCCGGATAAGAGTTGCTGTGATAGAGCTATCTTCCTTGAGATCGGCCGCACTGACCTTTTCTGTCGCCAGATATCGCACCGGAGGATTGTATGGAGACGGCTCCCCGGCGATACCGCGGAAGGAGAGGGACTTTTCCACATATCGCGCAGCTGTGACGGTGACCACGACTGCCAGATTTGACCGCGGAAGCACCCGTGCTGCATCTTGGCCTACCAGGATCCGCGCTTCCCCGGTCACGTATAACGCATTTCCCGTGTCAAAGTCTGGGAAGACGTATCCTGATCGAGGATTGGTCTGGAGATTGCCTAGAGTCTGGTATAGTCGATTACCTGAGTATTCTGGATAAGCAAATACAGCCCCACGTGGCCCGTTAGACACCAGTCGCACAAATCCAGGAGGACCTCCACGGATGTTTGTGTCCATGTCAATTGTACCATGAGCCGAAGAGACAAACAGGCAGTCAGCACGATTGAGAAGGTCTACAGCCGCCGGGGTCAGTTGAGGCGAGCTTGACACCAGCTTCGGATTTGGAAGGGCAGGAATGATCTGCTTCTTATTCATATACTTTGGACAGTTTCCTGATTCGTCAGCTGTGCCGCATGCCTGATGTTATGGAATAATATCTACTCACCGAGACTTGCATCAATGTGCAACGTCAGGTGAGCGAATCCCACCTGATCCAAACCTGACACTGCGCTGGGACTTTCCAACGACCCCGCAATCGACCTGCCGTGAAGCTTCACTCTCTTCCGATTTTCCAGATCGAAGACTAATCCAGACATCAGTTTTCCGCCGCGCGTGGAATCCGCCAAGTCGCCTTCCGGTGGTCCCAGCAGTATTTCAGCGACGGGATCATGTCTCCTGTCGACAGGTGTGGTCAGTTCGACCGTGGTTTGCGAAGTAGGTCTAGCGAATCCTTTCTCGCCGCCCCAGATGCTTGTCCAGAGGCGTCCTTCGGAATCAATAGTCCCAATAGCCAAAAGTGGAGTGCGTGGCAGTAGATAGCCAGCATTATAGGTGAGGCTTGGAACTGTGGGGTTATCTCGTGGGGGAACGTGAAGCAAATTGTGCATTTTCTGCTCACCCTCATGCCAGGGCATGGAACCTGCAAGTATGGAGGTCATGATTGTTTAGTAGCTTGGCGACTGATGTCGCACAGTCAACATATAAGTTAGCTAGGAGAAAAGAGGGCATCGGTGCTGGTTGTGAGGGCACTGCTGGTTTTATGGGGAGTGTTATAGGTATGTGCGAAGGTTTAGGGAATTAATCAGCAACGATGGTGTCAGTCAGTAAGTATGGTGTAGTAACCATGCCGCGATAATACGAGAGAGAGAAAGAGAGCATCTAGAACTGGATGAAGTAAGCGAGACACGTGCCATGCCTAACTACTCCTACTCCTCCTACTCCACAGGCCAAACGCGGCTGGGTTCGTCATCTTCTCCTCTTCCCGCTGCTTTCTTTAGCAACAGCCGTGGTTGTGGAGCCTGCCCAGGCAGTGTAAAAGTGATCGGCCCAGCGAGGCGTTGCATTGTTGTGTTTCTTGCTCTCGCACTCGCACTTCCTGCCTTCCTGTTTCTTTTTGTTTTCCCACTTTGTTGAATTGTGATGACCTGAATTCAATTCTCTCCTCTTGCAGGTTCAAGAGCATTTGTCTCTCTACCATCCCCTCTGTCATTATCCCACAGTATCGTTGTCTGATCATCTGTTTACTGCTTATCGATCGGAATTCAACACTTACTGATAAACCACTCCCCACCGCGATTGGAAACATCCTCCGATAACCACCGCCCACTATGCGCACCACCGCATCTGTCAAACCATCCCACTACCCAGCGATACCCTTCCACATTATCCGCGCAACGGGTCTCATTTCGACCTTTATCGTAGGCATCATTCTTGCTGTCTTCATCACCAACCTACACAGCCATGGCTACAAGCTTCCGTGGGCCTTCCTGGTCGTAAGTCCCTGCTTCTCCTTCCCCGGATTCACGCCCGATTCCAGCCAGACACACAGACACACAGACACCGAATTAACTCGAAGATAAAACAGCTCCTAATCGCCACCGTCCTGACCCTTCTCAACTACATTCTCACGACGCTGACCCACTGCTTCTATGGCCTCTCCCCACGCCTCTCCCTAACCACCAATTCCATCCTCCTAGTTCTCTGGCTCATCTCTCTCGGCCTCCTGAGCTACAGTCTCGCGCACACCATCCTCACCAGCTGCACGACCACTTACTGGGGCACCTCAACCGGCATCAACGTGTGCCGCATCTACAAGGCGCTCTTCGCGTTCACCATCCTCGCGACCGCCGCCCACATCGCCGCCGTCGTCCTCGATGTGATCGTCCGCCGACGCCAGACCCGCCTGGGCGAATACGACCCCATGGCCAGCAACGCCGCCCTCAACGACTACAAGATGCACAACCGCGGGAGCAGCGTCATGTCCGGCGGCGTGGGCCCCTACCACCCGGACGACCTGTACGCCCAGCCGCATCCCGCGCAGCAGGGGCCCTACGGGTACCCCGCCGGCCAGGAGGCCTATCACGATGCACCACCGCCCGACATGTCGGGCCAGTATATGTCCCCGCCGCCGTCGTATGGCGGGCTGGGAAACCACGCCGGCGCCGCAGCAGAGCACGACCACGCTCGCGAGGTGGAACAGTATGGCGACGCTGCGGCGGCGGGAGATCTCGGGGCGCAACAC